TACCCCATTCAGCCTTTTAATCACCCCGGGTTTTCGAGAAAAATATGTCAAAATAGTTTAATTTTTGGCGAATGGGGTAAAACTACTGAATAGTACCTAACCAAATTTTTTTTAGAGAAATCTTAAATCCATATATCAAATGAATTATTAGAAATAAAGCTAGAGATTTTTGTGATCATATTAAAAATTTAATCAGAAATTCCTACTTTACTAAGATTATTATACAGTAATCGCCATTTTCTTAATATTAGGATGAAAATTCTACTCTCTGAGATACTTGTACTTAGTAACTTCGATTACTGCCACTATATTTTTTGGTCGTATTTATTTCAGGGTAAAAAAATAAGGATCCAGGTTTTACAAAATTCTTATAGATTTATATTTTCTATTAAAAAAAAAATAATATAATTCGCATAAACTTGTTGAATGGCTAAATATGGACTACCATTATAAACTTCATTTAGGGAATTTCGTTCATAAAATCTTCTATCAGTCGAAACCTTACATTTAAAAAAATAATAATCTCTCACTTCTTTGTCCACAATAGAATACAAGTAATAGCAATAAATTCTCTATTCTTAAACATGGTAGATACAGCCATGTTTTACTTACAATGCTATTAAATTATATAACTCTTTGCCAGAGGTATTTAAATTGTTTAATGAACTGTTAGTTTGCTCATTATATTTGATATTTAATACCTAATTGAAAATATATGTATTAATAGGAAACTTTTATTGTTATTTTATAAATATTGTTTGATAATAATTATTACTATTCTCCATGCCGATTATTTTAGAATTTATATATTTTTTATATATTCTGACATGCTTGTTGTGGTTGAGTAAGAGTAGCTTTAGCTAGACTTCGCCACAGTTGGCATGTATATTTTATAATTTTTTTTGACCTGTAGCATATTAGTTATAATGAGAGAATAATTAGGTGTATATAAAAATTATTTTTTTCTAATAATAAAACTTAAAACAAAGATAAAAATGTTATGGGTAACACTATTAAATAAGAATTCACTGAATTAACGAACAAAATTTTATTTCTTACTTTTACTAATATACATCGAAAAATTAATATTTTATTTTACTAAATTAATAAAGTAAGTTAACTAATACCTGTGACTAAATTCTTAGTAACATTATCGGTTCATTAGTAATAATATTCAATTTTTGTGGCAATAGAAAGAAGTATTGATATAGAGGAATATAATTTTGATGTACAATTCCAACAAGGTGTATATAAGAATTAATTTTTTTTCTAATATTAAAACCCAAAACATACATAAAAATATATCCTAAATTAAAATAGTCAATAAGAGTATAAACAAGTTACATCGACTAAAGATAAAACACCAATAAGGCACACATATAAAAAGAAAAAAAAATACTATCTAAATTAGGGGTGGTGGTAGCCACATGTGAGTGAGTTGGAATTGAGTACAAAGGTGTAAAGAAAAGTTCTTTATTTCTTACGAAGTAAATTTATTGGCGGCCGGTTTCGAAGTGATTACTTCAACATCAGGTACAACTAAATGGAAAGTCATGGAGTGAATGTATTGAAAAGTGTAAATTAATTAATACAAAAATGAAAATTGAACAAAAAATTTATTTAAAGCAAAGACAAAAGGGGAGGTTAATAATAATTTTACTTACCATGACATATCCATTACGGATAAACTACTTGAATTTACATAAAACCAGGGTCGACAAGAGGGAGGGGGCAGCGGTATAAAGGGGGCCCGGCAACTGTGGCGAGGAGTTTTTTGTTACTTTCAGAAGTTCGGCACAAGAGGGGGAAGTTTTTTTAGAGAAATTTAAGTAAAGAGGAGGAAAAATTTTTGCTTGAAGACTTTTTTTTTAAAACAATTTTATAAAATTGTCGCGGGGCTCGATCTGGAGAATTGTCCTGCGGCCCGACCTGCATAAAACAATAACAAAACAACTTACGAACAAACATTTTATTTTTTTTATAAAACCAGGACTGGACAAATTAAAAATTAAAATAGAGTGAAATTAATTAAGTTTTTATAGAGATAAGATAGTAAATGGTAAAACCGCTGACCTACCATCTATCAAATAGGTTACAAAGTAGAAAATATTAAATTCATCAATATCTGGTACCTATACTAACTTTCTATAACACTTTCTATGTAGTGTCTTTTGTTCTAATCACTTTATTGACTAACAAAATAACTGAAACTAAAAATGTATCTTGTTACCAGGTACGATGTAGTTTCTGTAGTCATCAGTTGGTATTTAATAATTTTTTATATGTTTGTTTTGAATATTTTTGTGTTTGTTATTAAAAATATCTTCTGTTTTTGTTTGTTTATTTGTTACTGTGTAAAGTGGTTAATGTTTTTCTGTATTATTATTATTTCTAATAGGAATTTTGTAGAAAATATGCGGTTTAAAATATGTCAATCTTCAACTTTTTCACGGTCTTTGTCCGTCCCTGACCGAAATGCGAGAATTTTTAAGTTATTTCAGTCTCAGATTGCATTAACAGTGATAAAATGTTCGGCACGTGCTAAATGAGCTAATTTTGCACTTTTTTAAATTTAAGAAGATTGTTTTTTTAATAAAAAAAACGCAAACAATAACTTTAGAATGTCTGTAAATACAAGTAAGTGACCGGTAATATACGTTTCAGCAGTTTACTGAATATGTAGATAAACTAAATTGAACTTTTTTTCAGGCGATGTTTTAAAATGGTTCTGGTTTTCTCTACAAAAATAAATGAGTGAAAATCATTAAATTTCTAGCAATTCTGTCTGGTTTAATTTTTACTAGCTAACCATGAATACTAGTTCGTTTCTTTTTATCTTAGTCATTATTGTTTCTTGGTTAGTTATATACATATCTTCATTCCTTACTGTGTCTCATTTAGTTTTTCTCCTTATTTTTCTCAAATCTTTCATTTCCATTGTATTGCATAAGTTATTGTTGGTACTATAATATATTGTGAATTTTCATTTTTGAATCTGTATCAATATCTTTATATTGTTTTATTTACGGAGCAGTACATTCTGGTTGATTTATTTGTTTGTAACTTCCGCATCCATTCTTCCTTCGTCTGTAAATATACTTCCTAGGTAGGTATTCATAGTTTAGTGTTATGTCTTTACATATTATTTCTATCATTTCTCTGTTTTTCGTTTACAATAATCACTTTAGAGTTTATCCATGGTACCATAAAAAGAAGGATCTAGGGGGCAGGGGGCCATAGCCCACTGAAGTTAAAATTCTTACAATCCATGAGCCTTTTATTAAAAAAATATGCTAAAAAGGGAATTGTTGGCAACACATGGGTTTTATCTATGTTTACTTCCATTCTCATGTTTTCTATTTCTCTTGTCCATACGTTTATTAGTGTAATCATTTTGATTTTGTTATCAGTACATTTAGTATGTCATCTGCATATAGCAAATTGGTAACTCCACTTACAATCAAAAAAATATTTGCACAAAAGAATAAAAATACACAAATAGTAGTTTGTGCAAGAAGAGTGGATACGATCACACGAAGACGAAGTTTGAGCCACAACTTATAGAGAATTTAAATCAAATAATTTGTGTCAAATCCTGTTTTAAGTACCTATAATTTGTGCATTTAAAGGAACTGGTGGAACTGAAGCGATTCGCCTTTATATTTTATGAAATAGTTAATGTTTAAAAATTATTTATTTATTTATTTAAGAATTAATGTTTCTGTTTTATGTATTTTAAATAAACATGTATATTTTTAAATGTATATTATAGTGTAATATTTCATTCAAAAGCTATTTTGATATTCCAGAAATATTTTAGAAACGTTTCTATAACGTTTCATAATATATAAGGTTTCAAATTTCTATTTCTGAAATATTACATAGGACATTTTTACGTTCGTAATATTTATGCAACATTACAAATATTTCAATGTTACATTTATGAAATATTTCCGAAATATTTTTATGCTGTATGGGTGAATATTATAAAACTAATAAAATGTTTGTCAAACATTAATTTTAATTTAATTAACTACTTGTAAGCTTTTTAATTTTTACTGTAACACCACTGGTAATTTTTAATTTAATTCAATCAAGAAATTATTGTAAGTAATAAATAGAAATAAGATGTAAATATCGACACAATGCATGACGCGTTTTCCCGGACTGTGACTATATTGCTACTACAGAGCCGAGAGTGACGGCTAAGTGTCATTCACAACGCAGAAAAAAGTTATTCACGCGGGCCAAAAGAAGTTTTTACTTCAAAAAATTAAACTCAGGGCTCTAAACTAAACTTGCCCCTAAACAACAATGAAATAAAAAATAACCGATTGTATAATCAAACTGTACGCACGTACGAGAACACTCTGTATTACACCGTACATAATAACAATAATAACATAATTATACGGCTTCGGGCGATTATTTTCTTGAAATTAGGATGCTCGATGCATCGGGATATGACCGGCAAGCGACCAACCGATTCGTGTTTTTCTCTACAAACACCAACAACCGCCGAAGAAGGCAGCCAGCGAGCGCATGGTGAGTACAGGTACTCCGGCATACAGGTAGTCGCTGGCTATTTCATATTTTGCGCTCTAAAAGTCCACAGTCTACCTTCGGTGGATAGCACGACTCGTTCAATTTCAGTCATCACAGTTGCGCGACTCATTCTACGAGATATCTACAGCAGCTTTACCGTGGGTCGGCCAGGTTAACTCGCGAACACTTTCACTTACGCTCGCTGTTATTTACATGTGCTTATGCTTAGACGTTTTTAATTTTTAACCCCAACAGGAACCCTCGTTTCGGGCTAAAAATACGCGTATCCTGTTGGAAAAATGTTGATAACTGGTGGTAGATTTAATAGTAACTCTCTGCGCTGTGAACTGTTGTGTTATAATGTTAAATAAAGTGTTCAAATAGAGGTAGGTGTTATGACCAGGTGTGGTAGTGGACACATGTAAGAAACACTGTACTGTTTTTTTTTTGTGTGAAAAAAAAAACAAGTCGAAATAATGGATGATGACGATATTTCTGTGCGAGTGGGTGTCAGGTAAGAAATCTTTATAACTAATTAAAGAAAAATTGTTTATATTATTTATAATTCGCTTCATTATATACCTAGTAAATATATTTAAAAAAGAAACAACGCTATTGTTAGCAACGTATAAAACGCAAATTAGAGCCTTATTTCCTGTTTTAAATTCTCTTGTTTATTACCTTCCTTTTTATGTCCAATAATAACAAAGTTATATTGGGTTTATTCACCTAGTTCTATTATTATCGTACGGCAATATTTACGTTCTCAATTTTACTACATGCAGTGTGCTGATTTTTGTCAAAAGATTGCATAACAAACGCGAAAATTTTGAATAATCGTATTTACCTTTTAAAACCTCTCAACAGGTAGGCGTTTACAATTTTAACTCATCTACCTACCTGCTTATACTTTTTCTAGGTATTCTTTTCTTCTAGAGTCGATAATAATAGCACATGACTTGAAAATATATTACCCACTTACAAGTATAAGGGTGGGCGTACAAAGAAAAAAATATGTACCTACACTGAATATTCTTCTTAAAGTTGTAGTTCAAAATTCTTGTTTTAGCTTATTCAAATTAGATATTTTATAAAAAAAACATTTAACTGAATGTCAAAAGCAAAAAGTGGTAAAAGATCATTTAGTAAATAAGTTTTAATAATTTTAAAAATTTAGTAAAACCTGAAAATATATAATTGTGTTTTAAAAACCAGATTAATTATTTTATTTAACAATTGATTGCAATAATCATTCATTAAAAGCGTTTACAAAAATACAGATAATGTATTGTTAGAAACTTTAGCTTTATAGTCAAAGGCATCCTATAGTTAGTTATAGTTAAGTACCTATGAGAGGATTATTTAATTTTACTTATTCCCTTCATCTTGATTTACCTCTATTTCATATTTCTAGCAGTCCATGCCATGTAATGGATAATCTTCACTCGTATAAATTATCCTTGTTCCCATTATCCTCTTTACCAAAGCTCTTCCATAGTCTCATCCACCAATGCTGCATTCAGCTTCCTATATCCTAGTTCTGTCATCAGATGTTTAGTTATTTCTCTAGTGTTTTAGTCATTAAATACATAACTAACTAACTAACTAACTTAAGTTTAAGCCTTCCCCCTTTTACAGTCTTCTATTGGTCTCTAGCTATGACATTTTTGAACGTGTGCGAAGTTAGCAACATATCATGGTTTAAGGGGAGTTCTTCTGACATAATTCTAGAGTTTGTGATACTTTTTATCAATAGTTCTGTCGAATAGTTCTAGAGTTATTGTTCATTTGCATTAGGTAGTTATTTCAATTAATAATTATATTATGAGAAGTTCTAGACTATATGACGCTTTTAAATGATATCTAGAATCCTCCTTGCATAGACTCGAGAATTTAGCCTTTCTAAATAATTTCAAGTAAATATAAACAAATTGTAGACAATAGTGAGGTCTCGTATTATGACGAGTTCTAGAATCTATATAACTCTCAGGAAGTCCAAGGTGGGAGACTCTAGATAGTCTAGATATCATTTAGAGGAATTATATATATTATAAGAGTTGAACTCGCCATAATACAACATAATCTTACTATCGTCTACATTTTTTGTTCATAAGTAATACTTTGAAGTCAGCGAGTGCTAGAAGTTAAAACTTTCGGGGCCCATTCAGGGAGCCTTTATTTATCATTAAATTTAGAAGTATTATATTATTTTAGAACTCTTTAAAATACGTCAGCATCTCACTATCATCAACAATTTTTGTTTATAATTATTATTTTAAATTATGCAAAGAGTACTAGTGGATATGTGGCTAGAACCCTTCGGAGTCCATGCAGAGAGCCTCTAATTATCATATGCAAGCATTAGATATTCTAGAACTCGTCATAATACGACAGCATCTCACTATCGTCTTCATTTTTGTTTATAATTATTACTTCAATTATTCAAAGAGTGCTTAAAGGCTAGAACTCTTCGGAGTCCATGCAGAGAGCCCTCGAGAGAGCCTCTAATTTTCATATACAAGCATTAGATATTCTAGAACTCGTCATAATACGACAGCATCTTACTATCGTCTTCATTTTTGTTTATAATTATTACTTCAATTATTCAGAGAGTGCTTAAAGGCTAGAACCTTTCGGAGTCCATGCAGATGTCATCTAATTCAGATTTAGAAGCATTATATATTCTAGAACTCGTCATAAATCGACAGTATCTGACTATCGTCTATATTTTTGTTTATAATTATTGCTTTAAATTATTCAGAAAATGTCCAACTAAACATCTATTGAAAATCTGTTTATTGCACTAATTAGTTTCCTATTACCTTCAATAGTTAATAATTTAGTTAAATCTATCCAGTTATACTCTTGGTACATTGGAAAATCTGTATTATATTTATAGTTAGGTGTTATTTTTATTTATTCACATAGAATATTTTTTAAGTAATGCAACTTCTGTGAAATTGCGTAAAAGGAAAGTGTATATTATAAAAGAATCATCTCGTTCTCTGAACCATTTTATAATAATTACAATTCAGATTATATTCCGTTATATTCCTACATAAAAAAACCCATCATTACAGAATAAAACCATAACAATACAATCTATTATACCGGTGTCATGGGAAATATTTAATTTTAGTATTTTTATTATTTTAATTATATGCATTGTTTTCCCTAAGTGTAAGACTTTTTTTTATCCCATTTCCTAAATTTTCTCTTCAATTCTATTTTATCATTTTTACTTCTTCTATAAATTCCACCATTCCACGTTTGTATTCTTTATAGCATCTCAAATCTTAGCATCTCATAATTTAAGAGGAGTTATTATGGAATCCGATATAGTTCTAGAGTTCCTGATATTTTTTTTATTAGTATTTGTTTTAAAATTCTAAACGATAGTGATAAGTTGCTGCTTAGTTCTAAAATATAAAATGCTTCTAAATGATAATTAAAGGACACCTGCATCCTGCATGGACTCTCGAAGAGTTGTAGCCTTAAATATTTTTTAAATAATTTAAAGTAATAATTATAAACAAAAATTGAAGACTGTAGTGTTATGCTGTCGTATTGTGACGAATTCTAGAATATATTCACATAGTACTTCTAAATGATAACCAGAGGACATATGCATGGACTCTCGAATAGTTCTAGCATCTAGTAATTTCTAATTAATTTTAAGTAAAATTTATAAACAAAACTTGTAAACGATAGTAAGATTATATGGCATCATGACGAGTTCTAGAATATATAATGCTTTTAAATAATAACTAGGGGACATTTGCATGGACTCTAGAAGACTTCTATCCTCTAGTACTTTCTAAACTAATTTCAATTAATAATTACAAACAAAAATTCTAGACGATAGAAAGATTCTGTCGTATTATGACGAGTTCTACAATATATAATTCTTCTAAATGATAACTAGACGATATCTGCATAGACTTTCGAAGAGTTCTAGCCTCTAATACTTTCTAACTAATTTTAAGTAATAATTATGAACAAATTGTAGACGATAGTAAGATTATGTATTATGACGAGTTCTAGAGTATAATTATATAATGCTTATAAATGATTACGAGGACATCTGCATGGACTCTTGAAGAGTTCTAGCCTCTAATACTTTCTAAATAATTTTAAACAATAATTGTAGACTATAATGAAAATCTATCCTATTATGACGAATTCTAGAATATATAATGCAAATCATAATAAGAGGACTAATAGACTCTCGAAGATTTATAGCCTCTAGCACTTTATAAATAATTTCAAGTTCTAATTATACACAAAAATTGAACACGATAGTGAGATGCTGTAGTACTGTGACAAGTTCTAGAATATATAATGCTTCTAAATGGTATCTAGAGTCTCTCTAAATGGACTTCATGAAAGCTCTAGCGTTTTCTCAAATATTTTAGATGTTAATGAAAAAGCTCTAGGATGTTATGGTGATTTTATCTGAAAAGTAAAAATCATCGTAGTTAACGGTACTTAACAAGGTATTCAGAAAATTCTAGAGGCTAGAACTCTTTGAGAGGAGTCCAAGCAAGGGGACTCTAGTTGGATGCAATTTAGAACTCGTCATAATACGATAGCATTTCACTTTCATATAGTTTTTGTTTATAATTATTATTTAAAATTATTCAGAAAGTGCTAGGAGCTAAAACTCTTCGAGAGTCCAATCAGGGCGACTCTATATATCATTTAGATGCATTATGTATTCTAGAACTTGTCATGATACGACAGAATCTCACTTTCGTCTACAGTTTTTGTTCATAATTATTACTTAAAATTATTCAGAAAGTGTTGGAGAATAAAACTCTTCGGGGGTCCACACAGGGAAGTATAACTAACATTTTTTTTTTATATGTTTAATAGTCCTCTTTTCTTTGTGTAAATATACATCTCTGTTCCTTTAACTCTGCAATTCTTTACTCCACAGTGGTTATTCTGCCACTTTAGAAAGAAACCTTATTTTACCTGCAGATATCAGGATCCTTTTAAATAAAGCCTCAATGTCTGGTTGTGCTCTATACACCATAATATTTAACTGACCCCTCGAAAAGAAATTCAACGGAATTAAATGTGGAGATCTAGCAAGTCGTTAATATACCTAACTGTATCAATTTTTTAAATGTTTTTAATAAAATGAGATTCTAAATATTTCGGTGGAAGAAAAAATATGTGTAGATGTCTGTTTATATAAGATTAGATTATTGCTCCGTATATTTTCTACATTCAGCACGGGGCATATCGAATTTATAATAGAAATTAAGATTGAAATGACTTTCCCGTACTATGTAAATTGAAAAACGTTTGACATTGAATGTAATTTAACAAGCGAATGGTTTGAAAATAAACATACTTCCTCTTATTACAAAGGCAGGATACCACCAATTTAATGTATCGGATGAGTTGAATGTTGCGATGATGGTTTTTCAATTATAATCAGTTTTTACTTAAACCTATTTGTAAATAATCACTTTTTTTAGTCTAGAAGTGATTAAAATGAGAAGC